AACATAGAAATAATAGCCAAAATGTACAGGAATTGGTTCAGCTTGGATCAGCTGCTACAAGTATATAAACTATCCTGTAAAGATGATTTTAAATAATAAATAAATGAATGAATCCAGATATCATTGTTTATATTACAGAATTATATAACAAACTGTGCATATGCCAGATGTAACAGGGTATGTATTCATTATACTTCAATAGGGTTATGACGTACAATTCAGGCTGCTGGATTTGCATCACTTATTGATTAGTTACTTAGGAACACATTGGCGTAGGTAATGTTTCTCTCTGTAGAATATCCTCAGCGAGATCTAGAACAGCGTGAATCAAGGGAACAATACCTGAATGGAGTAAACTGTATCACATGCAGGGTTCACTTTCAGGTTAATCAATATAACTATTGAAATTGGATGGACCATCATATACAGTAGTATTACAGTACAAGATAATTTGCTAAAATTTTAATATTAATATTTGGATTCAGTGAACAATTCATGTATCTCATTTACAAACAAAATTACGGTATATAAATAGTTTTACTGTTGTGTTAATGATCCTTTACATAGTGACGTTATTATTAAAAAAAGAGCGCTGATGCCATGAATGCTATACAAAAATTTGAATTCTGAATTACAAATTTTCTAAATTACAATGCTGTCCAGCCACAGTATGTATGTGGTGAGATTCAATGCCGTAGCCAGCTATTGAGACAGTTGGCACCATCCAACTCAAATTTTATAGTGGGTCCACAAAAAATGGGTCCACATTTTACGGGTCCAAATTATGCAGTTTTATGCATAAATGAGTCCACTTTTTGAAAAATGGGTCCATATTTCTCATACTTAGCCTAAAGTGGGTAAAGTTTAAAGAAATTTGGTCCACATTTTTCGTATATTTGCGTAAAATAAGAAAATGGGTCCACAATTTGAATTTACGCGTAAAGTAGGTCCACCCTGATATTGTTCCACACTGTTTGAAAATCCTGGCTATGGCATTGGCAAGATTTATATAGTGATAATACAAAAGTCTCTAGGAATAAGCATTGTGTACAGGAAACATGAAAGAAACTAAATGTTTTTAAGTATAAAATTACAATCAATACGATAGTGAAAGGCAGCCAAAAATATCCATGACACCATGTGAATCAACCGAGTAAAAAAAAAAAATTTATTGTAAATGATGTATCACATAATAATGAACACATTTTAAAGATATTAAAAGACTAAAAAAAAAACCTTCACTCAAAATACAGTAGAGTATACAGTAGCAGGTCATGTAACATATACATTAAAAACATCATTCATAACATTGTGTAGGAAATTTATTGTCATAAATTCTAAAATTTTTGTCATACCATGTGAAACTTTTAATTTATTTATTCTGTAGATTATTTAAATTTATTATAATTACTGTATTAATTTAAATAACAATTTTAAATGACAATTTAAATGATATTTTCCTTGATTCCTTTACTGAATTTAAAATGAAACATATTACTTGTATTCGTGATGCTACTGTAAGCTATGATAACATTTTTTTTTTACCTATCATGTATGTGGCTGGTTCGTACTCACGGTTTTGTGTGGAGTTGAACAAAAATAAAAATACAATAACAAATCAATAATGGGAAGCAAACAAATAAACGGAATTTAAACAAACTATAAAATCAAATTACAGTTTTCCTGATTACTGTTTACTTAAAGTCAGGTCAAATTCTACTTGACAGACTCAAAATATACGTAAAATGTCAAATATAGCCATAGAATATATTTGGAAAGTTTTACGCGATGTTTTTATGAGAGGATCAATTTCTCTTACTCTTCTAATCCTCAACTTCAAAATTAAAGTACCAATTTCTCAGTATTTTATTCCTCATAACGAAGCTTTATGATGTATTTTATGATTACTTAAAAGGGTTTTAAAGCTTAGAAATGGGAGAGACGAGTACACATTAATATGTAAAATTTGAAGACAAAAAATGTTTGCGTAGCTGTAGCAATCATGACATTGATTTATATTCTCCATTAAGTAATTCTAAAGAGAGATCTAGAAAATGACATAATGAAGTTTTCATAGTGCTTTTCGAAAAGATCAAAGTAACTATAGTTGCTTGGGTATAAACCCAGCCTGTTGAACATGTATATAGTTCTGTTAATTGTTTTTTACTTGAGGTTTGGGATTCATACTCAAGGACCCGAATCTGCAAAATAGAGTACAGTAATCCCGTCTCCACTGGGATACCCCTATTACTGTAAGGGGACACCCCTATTAAAGAGGCACATTTTTGACCACAAAACGAGGGAAAGTATCTTTAACACTATGGTCAAACCCATATAGGGTCACACCTTATTAAGGAGACACTTTTTATGGACCTGAAGGTGTCCTCTTACCCGAGGACCTAAATCTGCAAAAAAAGGGTAACCCTGTTGCCATTGGGACACCCCTGTTACTGTAAGGGAACACCCCTACAGTATTAAGGGGACACATTTTTTGGCCACAAAACAAGGGATTGTATCTTTTAACACTATAGCCAACCCTTATTTAGTGGACATTTTTTCTGATCCTGAAGGTGTCCCCTTATTAATAGGGGTTCTACTGTAGTAGGTGGGTTTATAAATAGGTCTACAATATAAGCCTATTCTAACCACAAAGGCTACAAGAGGCCTCATAAAGTCTCAAGCCACAGGAATTGACATGTAGCCTAGTGCCTTGCTAGTTTGAATACAATGGCTCTTTATACTGTACAGTACTTCACAGAGCAAATAAAATTCATTATTTGAATAAATTTAAAGCTCTGTCTATTAAACTATCATAATTTATTTGACAAAAAAAACCCCCCAAAAAACTGTTGTACTGCAGTGTGCTCATATTATATAGTCATGATGCACCCATATTCATGTGATGTCATCATGACCATATATAGGCATGTTACATGTTTTTGTCAAATAAAATTTGATAGTCTGGACAGGGCTGTGTTAAATTTAGTACAGTACCCGCCCGAACAAACAGAGGTTTCTCTCTTCTGAGGCCCTATCACAGGCCCAACCCTAAGGGAAGTAGTACCCAAAGGTACCTTAGCCTGGAACCTCAGGCCTCTTCGTAACCCCACTGTGTAGGATAATTGAGTTACTGAACCTATTCCTTCTATTAGAAGATGTATACTGTACTCTAGTAGGATTAGCTTCAACCTAAGGGCAAAAACCTTTGTACAGCTGCAGTGCATTTTGTTGATGTCTTAAAATTGATTTAACAATTCTCGTTACACTTGCACAGTACAGCATCAAGATCAAACTATTATAATTCTACTGGTACGCTAACCGTTATACTCTGTAACTCTCTGGTAAACAATTTCAAATTAATGTATTATTTGTACTTCAGGTTACTGACACTAATTTATACCTTGTTTATCAAACAAGAGCTTTAGAAGATGGAAAAAATGTCTTAAAATTAGCTAAATGGCTGCAAAAACGCATCTACTGTACAACTGCCTTCACTTCCATAAACACTTTGATTTCATGTTTCAAATAGTACACCTGTAAATAAGGCCCTATAAAAAATATTATTAGTTTATCACCCTATCTGGGCAGAAAAAGTGATGAGGGAGGGAGGTTTTTTTTATATTTTTTATTTTGCTAAAGCCAAATATCACCCTTGGGTTGTTTGCTAGTGCATTGATATTCAAAGTAAAACGTGATTTAGAAATGCAAACAATATTTACTAACTATTTAATAAAATAAATGAAAAAATAAAATAAAAAAAAATGAAAAAAATAAATTTTTTTTTTTTTTTCCCAGTACCATAAAAGACATGCGCGCGAGGGTGATAAACTAATAATTTTTTTATTGGGCCTAACCATTAATATTTGTTAAATATACCTTGTTTATCAAACAAGGTCTTTAGAAGATGGAAAAAAATGTCTTAAAATTAGCAAAATGGCTGCCAAAAGCATCTACTGTACAGTACTGTACAACTGCCTTCACTTTCATAAACACTGTGTTTTCATCTTTCAAATAATAACCTTTAATTTACAACAATTTAGTTGCTGAATTAAGAGTGAAAACAAAGGCAAGGTCATATGAATGTTGATTGGAAAGTTGTGCAGGTGCAAATTCAAGGGATACTCCTTTACTGATATGTCAATGCCACATGTAATGACTTTGATTGAAACATAACATTGTTAAATCTGAGACAACAAAAGTTGTCTTTAGGTTAAATAGAGGTTAAAATAATTAATTTGCTATGTTCATCTATCTTTTGTGTCTACTGCCCCCAACGGGGGCGTAGACACTATGTCATGATGTAGCAATTAAAAATGGTGGAAATGGGTAAATCCGTTTTAGGCATGATAGGTACTACTACCACGAGGTAGGGGGCGCTCTATTGACAATCGAATAGCGTTTGGAACTCGAACAAAATTGCGTTCGAAACTTGAACACGTGTTATAGAGACGCGGCACGCGTTTGCCACGAACGCCCTTTACCGTAATTTGAAGGACGCCCTCTAGAACATGGTAGTACTCTTCGTGATCAATGACATCAACTTCAAGAGTTACTCATTTTTAAGGTGTTTTTAGTTTAATATAGTAGTAGGCCTATACAGAATACTGAAAGAAAATTTTCTTGAAAAATCCAGATACACTACAATAATACACACATCTGCATATTGAAGACCATAAGATAAAATTAAAAAAACAAAAACTTCTGTATAAGGCAGTTGACACACGCTCCCACTGGGAGCCTATTTTGTTTATTTTGTTATTGTGGCAAAGTACTGTACTGTCTTGATCTTGATCAACCCGTCACAAAACAGTATCATGGTTATTAAGTCAATTAAACATGTTTCTTAATATAAATTTCAAGTTAAATCTGATATTAATATCATCAGCATCATATATACTAACACACAGACTTACTACTACGTCACTATATCACAATAGGAAGCTATTGCGATTTGTGACGACGTAGAACGTAATGACGTCATGTTAATTTAACTGCACATGTTGTGTGTTATGTTCTCTCCTGAAATCTGTAATGGTTGTCGGCCGATATCTATGTTCAGGCCAGGAGAGGACTGTGCTGTATGAAACATTGGTGTATCAGTCTTTTGCGTTTGTGACATATCTGCATACACGTCGTAAAAAACCTGAAATTGATTTTATGTTAACGTAAAACGTATGCGATGACAGTCACAGATGAAAGAATCTGTTCTACGTTTCCGTACTACATTCTCAATCGAAAGCTCTCTACTGTAATGTTTCATGTGACACAACTTTGTTACTAAGCATTGAAACTTAAGTGTTCAATACGGCCGAGTGACTTCACACCTAAGCCAAAGTATACATTTTAACACTTAGGTTGGTTGTTAAAATTGATCTAAATAACCTAATTCTTTGACATTTAATCTTGTTCCTTGTAAAATTAAATTCACAATATTCAATATTACAGTATCTAATATCACTCACATTGTGAGCTTTCATGTTTTCATTACATTATTAATAGGAAACGATTATGTTTTGATACATCAGTTGAGAAAGCTGTGGGAAAAGTGGCTTGGCTGTGGAGGCACTCAGGCGTATCAACACTTGGGGATGATGCTTGATAACTAAGCACTGTCACATGGTAATGTACAGTAGACAAATACAATTTCAGACAGAGGTTCTGGCAATATTGCGGTAATAATACAGGTACACTTTGCAGACATGTACTGTACCATTCATACCAACCAAATATTGCGATAATATTGCCGTAATATAACGCATTTCTCTATGAATGGATCATGCACGCTGAGAGAGCCATTTTAAATCTTTTTAGTCATCACAGACTAGGGGTGTTCTTTAATGCTTATTGTGTCGTTTCAGACACACTCCAGAACGCACCGTAACAGGAATATTGCGATAATATTACTAGGTCTGTGATGGAATGCTGCGTAAACCCAATATTGCGACTGCAGTTAATTCTGATCTTTTCATACAGAAGGCACCGTTTGGAATATTCCCGCAAATTATTGCAGTAGAGCTCTGTCTGAAAGTGGCTATAGTGACAAATTCAATGCTATATCAATGAATTTGTTTTCTATATTACCATACAGCATGAAGACCAGTTTTAGATATTGCAGTGTCCCCCAACACTCTTGGCAATATAAGCAGCTGTTTTTTTCTTTCTCATAGTTTTATAATTTTTTTGAGTGATTTATTGTAGAGGCTTGTCCTGACATATTAATAAATCAATTAGACATAGCAGTATGACACTGCTAAGCAGCCTGCATCATAAGCTTTACTTTCCTTACATTCTATGCCCTTTGAGCAAGAATTTCCAATATTTCAAAACAGATATCCAATTTCGTATTATATTGTGTGTGTGAAATGAATTCAGGTGTTGTCATTCATCTCTGCCAGAAAATTCTTTTTTGATCAAGAGTTTAATGAATTAAACATATTTTTTTCACAATTTCTATGTCGGATGTAATGGAGAAGCTTAATACATTATGACAAGATGGCGCGCATAGATCACTCGCGATACCAAATTAATAATAGCAATCGTCTGTAATGTTATGTAAATTATACTAGTTGCACCGATCTTGAAAATAATAACTTGCTACTTAATGTACAATCTTGAGATGAGACTAAAATTCGTCACACTGTACTTTTCATTAAGATTAGACATTTTATGTCATCCTAATGCGCCATTCAATATTACCAAATGAATGGTTCATAAAATATTCAAGAAAAGTTACAAGCAAATAAAGGAAGTCTCTTGTCTGGATTTTTCAAGGAGGAGGACGATAAGAGGAAGATGATTTACAAGTTGATTAAACCACAAACCACATGAATTTTGCACAACCACCCAGCAAAATACCGATAGATATTATATTGTAGCAACCGGCGTACGGTAGCGGATGTCTACTATTCTCATAGTGCTAAAAGGCCTATTGCCAAATATCCCTAAAGAAGAAGGTAATTTTACCATTCAAGTTTTAATATTTGGTTTGATATTAAAGGGAAAAAATAAATTCTCAATCATATCAAACTAAATGTACTTAAAATCCCAGCTGAAGGAGTAGGCCTACAATCATGTTATCTTCATCAATAGGAGCCAAAAGAGAATAAAATAAACTCCGAAGAAAGTATTGCAAGCCATTAAAGATTCAATATTTCAAAATCAGTTGAACTTCAGGAATTATATTTTACTTGTACATTTTTTATTCTATTCATAAATGAGTACCTTTGACCTCATATCTAAAGTACATTATGTCGCGATCAAATCAATCAAATTTACACTTTGATAAACGAATCACACTTTAATACAGTAAAGCAAGTTCTTTGAAAAAATTTAGAACTATTTCTTCATAAAAATCAACAAAATGGTAGGTTATTGGTATAAAAAATTCAAAAGTAAACCAACATCTACTTACATTTATCAGGGCAGATCTTGAAAGCTAAACTGTATGTGGTTCTGTAATTTCAAAAGACACAATCAAGGACTTCCAATATTCTAATGCAAGAAAAAAAAATTATGATTTATAAATTGCTAGTCGATAAAATGTTTGATTTGCACTGCGAGTTAATAAACGTAGAAAACAAACAAAAAATTAAGTGGTTTTAGAGTTGACGTCAATGTTGCACACACAGTTCATTCTAAAGTAATCAACTCTATTTGCTTTAATGTGTATCTCATTCAGTAACAAAAATAAGACATAAAAGGATTTAATTTGAATTTATCTTAAGCAACTGGAATTGAAATAAATATTACACATACGGAAGCAAATCAACAACAATTTCTAAATAATGAAGATGTGACCGGCAACCAATAACTGGTCATGTGATGGCTAGTTAGTGTTAAGATACAGTGGGGTCAGTTTATTATTAACTGAAAGTATTGGAGGAGGAAATCTTAATGATTTTACATCAATCTCACAATGAAAAAGTGAGAAATAAATTGCAAGGAAAGGCAGTATTGGCTCAAGTTAGTATTGAACTCATTCCAGCGTTCCTTGTGCACTTCATGCTCTGAAACTCATGTTATCATTTTTGAGCCTAGAGCTTATTTGCCTAAAGTAGTCCCACTTACATTTACACAGATCAAAAAGACTTACAGCGCCTATCTTGCTGCAGACAAGGGTATTAAATTACAGTAGGCCCTACTCTCTTTGAAAACCTCTGGGGCTACATAGTTACCGTTAGCAAACCATTCTGACAATGTTCCTAGTTCAATTTTCTAGTCATATAGTTTACTGACATTCAAACCAACATTAATCAACATTGATGATGTCTTACAGCTGAAACACTCTGTAAAGAAAATTGCGTTTTCCTATGGCATCACTTGCTCTTCCCCATTACATTTTTTACATATATTATGATTTTGTACATATTTTTATATATTTTGATAATATTTTTACCTGACTATTTTATGCTAATTTAATTTATGTTCTCATTGGCATCAGGGAACCACTAGACAGTGATATGTAGTAGTTCACTTTTGAGCAATCCTGTCCAGCCAATTGAGTGCTGTTTTGTCCTCTCTGCTATTTTGTGTTTGTCAGTTTTAATTTTCTTTGGACCAAATAAATGAAATGATTTTCAAAGCCTCATTAATAGACCTGTCTCTCAACAGCCTGTCTGCTTTGACAACTGGCAGGAAAAAGTATGATAATCCTTAATCAAATACAATGTGTTTAAACTACTATCAAAACTAATATATATATGGCAAACATATGAATAGCCAAATTTGACGAAATTAAAGGTTCGGCATTTTATTTATTAAAAAAATATTTTTTTGACAACGAACAATATTTTTTCTATGAGCAAATAAGACTGGAATAGCCTTGGCGAAGGTAGGGAGTCAAGGCTAGCCTATTTTGCTGGATGGTACGCGATGCGAATCCAAAAATTGTCGTATTATTTGTGTATTTTCTACTTTTTAGGTGTAAACACATATTATTTGGTTGTTAAAAAAAAAAAAAAAAAAAAAAAAAAAAATTCCTACTGACCTCCATTTTTGGGATTTTCCCGAAACGTGGCAACACTAACTTTTCTTTTCTTTTTTTTTGGCCTTATTATGAATTACTTTTGAAATCAATGCTTCAGGAATGAGAGTGTCATTTAAAATGACAGAATTAAATAAAGAAAGAAATAAATAAATCACATCCATATATTGCAAAGACAAGCCAAACCAGTCACTCGTCGCAAAAATTGATTTTTAATTATTAATAAAGGGTTAAACAGTGAAATATTAAGAGCGACAAAATGGTAAAAATATCTTTTAAATCTGACATTTTGTTATGAAATTAGAGGAGTTTATAGAAAAATATTTGAGAAATCAGCCTTTAAAGTTTACGATTTCAGGCTTTTCTTACGCACAAACCATCACCAAATTGTTAAAAATTGTTGGTTTATTGAAAATGGGGAAAATAAAAGCATAGCATCATGTATAAATATATAAAGGTTAGTTTAGAGATTCAAGATTCATTTTTTATTAGTCATATAAAAGCAATATGAAATAATTTTCTGGGTAGAGGTTAGTTACATTACTATAACATATAGTGCAATTAAAAATAAATAGATTTCCAAAATTTTGACATTCCAGCATGTTTCGGCCATTACCTCCGAAAACAGGATTTGCGACGAGTTACTGGTTTGGCTTGTCTTTGCCACATATACAGACATGATGATGTCATCGTATAATAATAATAATAATAATTCCATACTTCTATAGAGCATTCCGCAAAAAGCCTCAATGCGCGCTACAAAAAGAAGACCAGCAGTAAATAAATTTTGACTTAAACTACGGTACTAACTAAAACAGTTCCGAAAAAGCATTTGCGCTATCGGTATATGTATCCAGAACAGGGCTCCACCCACCGATGTCGAAAGCAATGTCGCTGTCACACCAAGGTGCATGCAGGCACTCCGTTAGGCAGTATGCTGGGCTCCGGTAGCTTCCACCTCAGAATAAGTCCTCGGCTCTACTACCGTGCACTGCAAAAGACAACGACATTGTCTTGAGTAAGGAACAGATGGGGCCCCGCTCTGGACGCTCCACAAACGATAGCATATGCATCACCGCCCCAGATGAATTAAGGGAAAACATATCATGCATATTCAGCGTTGTTGAACAGAAAAGTTTTTAGCAGGGTTTTGAATTGACTCGATAGAAACAGTCGATTTGATGTACTGAGGAAGACCATTCCATAGTATATAAGAAAATTACATATACAAATTGATATTGTGCACAGAGCTACTGTACAGAATGATGCTTATTGATTTTCCCTTTAAAGCATGCCAGTGGTAATATGAATCTATCACAATTTCCCCAACTAGAACTTGACTGTTGTTTTACATCAAATATTGAGTGGTTTATGCGACAATGTCTACGCTAGGCTTCATAATCATCAATCAATAACAGGTAATGAGTCGGCTAATATCTAATGAGAAGTTTTATATTCGTACAATATATTCAACCTTCATTCACAACACTGTGATGTTCAGGCCGGCACTTAAGGCCCAATAAAAATATGATTAGTAGTTTATGTTGATTTTTTTTATTTTTTTTTATTTTTTAATTAAAAAAAATTCTTTTTTAGTAAAAAGATAGTATTTTGCTTGTGTTATCTCAATATGTATTTTACTTTGAATATCAATGTGCCAGCAAACAATTCAAAGGATATTTGCTTTAGCAAATTAAAAAATAAAAACCCTCTCTCCCTCCCTTCCTCATCACTTTTCCAGCCTAGATAGAATGATAAACTAATAATTTTTTATTGGGCCTTTATACACAGATGGATGAAATTCAAACGTCTTTGATAATTTTTTTTCATAGCGGCAGTTTGGCGCAGCGGTTGAGGTTCGGACTTTCAATCGTAAGGTTGGGGTTTCACATCTCCGCTGTGCAGATTCGCTTGTGTCCTTGGGCAAGGCACTTTAGCTACATTGCTTCAGACCACCCAGCTGTATCAATGGGTACCAGCAAACTGCTGGGGACTAACCTGCGATGGACTAGTGTCCCATCCAGGGGAGTACAACTCTCATCCGCTTCACACTACAGAAACTGGGGATAAGCTCCAGCCATATGGGCCCCTAGTGACTCGGAAAGGATTGTTAAGTTTTTTTTTTTTCTTTAAACCACTCTCTGAATCCAGATGATAATTTTTTTCCCAATTTTCTTGGATTTTGGTTAATGTATTCTTTAGAATGATGCGTATCAGCAAGTTGAATGAATATTGCATCCCGAAAATTGCGCCATAGATTATGTTGGCTCCTCGGTTATTGTAATTGGTTCAAGGCAGCCAATTTGACAGGCACTCCAAGCAACTCGGCAGTAATTAGAGTGGGAAGCAATTATAAAATTAGATATTATCAGTATCATTTGCTTTGGAACAACAGGTTTGTCAAGGTCTATTAATTAAATTTAGTTTCACAATGTTACAGTATTAACAGCAGTTAATTTGAGAAAATAACATTGAACTACATTACAATTTATCAGATAATTGGAGGATTAAATTGTGAGATATTCTCAATGTTTTCAAGGGCAGTTACTAGGGGTTGAACAGGATGGCTAGCCACCCTTTCCAAAATCCCTATGTGGGCAAGCCCTCTGACCAAAGTAATGTTTCTAACTCAAGATGCCTATAGAACGTCTAAAGTCGCTACATTTTACAAAATAATCTACAAACTGAATGGGGACATGTCCTCTCACTGCCGCCTTAACACACCCTCCCTTTTTCACATTAGGCCTCATTACTCATTTCAGGGGCTTCTTAGTAATAAACATTTTCTGGTAAAGGCAAGACTGAATTCACTGTAAATAGCCTCTTTTCACTATCTAGCCACCTCCACTCTTCTATGTGCCACTGCATTTATAATTCAGTTTGATAAAAACTCGATAAGATTAACTTTTGGGGGTCTTTAGCCGAGAACTCGCTGTACGACGAATCCAACTCAACAATAATGTGTACATTCTTGAAATATTAATATATTAACTTAAACCTGAGCCTGATGAAGACCCTGGTTCCTATATTATCATTATTATTGGTGTTAAAGACAATTAACAAATTATTTTATTATTCATTAATTACTATTTTTAATGATCAAACACTCTAAATACAAAATTACCTACTGGAGACAGAATTATAGTCGACACATTATTTATGGCGACCATGTTTTTATAAGTATTATGAGCTCTCCATACCGAGACGAAATGTGATGCGTTACAAGCATTGGCCACATATCTTAATACGCACCCACTGGCAAGGTTACAATTAGTCTTCTAAATTGTTGTAGAGTGGAATCTGAAGAAAATCATTAATTTCTAAGACAACTAATGAAGGAAACTACTAGTACTTTGAAAATTTCAAAAGCCTAGAAGTGAAATGTTGTTCTGTTGATAATTTATAGAAAATAATTCAAATTTGCAAAATAATTGCCATACAAAAAAAAAAAAAAAACAGTTCCAGACCATTAGTATATAGTACTGCTACTTATGCATGTACATAAGAT